CATCGCTTTCCCGACCGTTTAAGGACCAAACTAGCCCATCCCCCCCCCCATCCCCCCCACAATAACTGCCTTTTAAGCATAAGGATGGCGCTAAAGGAACAGAATGCGGCGGCGGGGTCGGCCAAGACTCCAAGTTGCAGGATATGCTGTGCGTGCCCCACAGAACGCAGAATACGTGACGAGTGCATCATTCTAAAAGGCACTGACGCCTGTAAGAGTGAAGTTGAGGCATTCTACACCTGCCTTTTGCGCGAAGGCTTCAGTGAAGCGGATGTGAAAGGCCTGCGGGAAACCGCGCGGAAAGTGTAGTAGAAGCGTAAAGGATTACAAGCAGGGGACAATTCTTTTCTTTAGTTCGCTGTTGTTGTTGTTTTTTATTATTATCTTTACACGTGTCGACGAAATTTAAAAGTCATGCTGTGGGGTCAAATGAAGCGAGGATGCGGACGAATTATAGGGGCATAAGAAAAGTAAATGGATCTCTGATTGTTGTTGTTTCTTTACTGGAATTGCTGTGCCATCTGTCTTTTGCATTTTTTTTTTGTTGTTGTTCTGTGGGTACTGTCGTACTCTTTATTTTTCCATGCCCCTTTTTAAAAATATTATTATTATTATTATTGCTTCTCTTTCTCGTCGGTGTGACATTATCTAAAAAGTAAACGGGGACTAGTCTCGGCGTTTGCTTCTGCCTCTACACCAGTGAGTTTGTGTACCGGCGTATTCCCTTAGCTCCAGACCTCCTACCTATATAGTTATCTATCCAGCACCGTAGATATATATATATATATATATATCTAGTACGAGTGAGAGGCAGAGGAATGGATGGACGAGCCTCCCCAGATGCCACTGCTTCTGCACAATTTGGCTGCACGAACAAGAGAGGTTTTTCACAGACGCTGTCTGGGGATGCCTCCAACATCTCGTCTCGTCACACGAAGAAGCGAAGTGAAGTGATATTGTTCCCATACTTTCGCAACCGTCTTGCATGCGATCCGCTGAATTTTTTTTGTGTTTACGCGAATCACGAGTACAAATGGAGCGACACTGCGGCAGAGGCGGAACGAAGCATCTTTGCACTTGTCGACTCGATGGTGGCTGCCGCCCGCAAGGCCTTTAATGAGTCCCTAAAACACTGGAGACAGATGCCGGACTTTGTGCGGCAGGCACATGCACTTTGCTTCGTTATGTCAGTTCCATCGGCACCCATGACGGGCACAACACTGCATGCGTACTTGAATAGGGATAGTTTTGCGCACCACCTAACGACGCGCAAAAGTGTGGTGTCTTTTTCTTCTGCGATTCCCCTTGTTGGTCCATGCAATGATGTGAATGCTGCTTTTGGCGGCAGTGTTGGACGAACTACACATTCAAAAGGGACATTGCCGCGTCTCGGTTCTCGTGACCGACCCGAGGACGAAGATGAGGCTGTCATGAAGAGTCTTTTGCAGCAGTGGGAACCACCTCAGAATGGTCCTAAGTGCCGTATTGTGCTGGACATTATTGCATCACGCAAAACCCTTGGTGATGATCTACCCAACAGCGAACCTTATCGATTGGGACAGAAAGTATTTGGTTTTGTCAAGAAAAGCTACCCACAAGAGGTTATGACTACCTTTGTGGGTATCAGCGACAGCAGCGTGACGCTCGTTGGCAGAGATATTATCTACCCTTTTCGTATTACTGGCAGTGCGGGGGCAAAGTCAAATACGACACCCATCGCTCTCGCAGGAATTCGAAACACGTTCACGGGTAGTCCTGCTCCAGTCTCCATGTTTACTTCTGCAGATGCGTTGGGAATGACAGCAGCTACTAACATGACGGCAACGGTTTCAGGAGTTGAGCAGGTGTTGGCAAACACTGTTCCCGCCCCAAGGATGGTGGCGGTACCGCCTGTGAACACGGACAAGGTGGACAACGTGAGGTTAGTCGTATGTTTCCCGCCTGGGGATGTCACAGCGTGACTTGATATTTTTGAGGTCAATATTATACATATATATATATCGTATATATATAATATATATAATATATATATTTATGTCTTACTAGCACACTGTGTTTATGTTATTCGTAACATTGTTGCTTGTATAGATATTGAAAGCAATGTACATGAACTCTTTCTTTTTTTTTTCAAAAGTTTTGCCTTTTCTATTTAATGTTATTGTTTTTGCTTATTGCGTGTCTATGTATGTGAGTTGTGAGTTTCGGTATTCAGCTTCAAATGGACAACAGTGAGGGAGAGTGGGAGGAGGGGAGACTCCTATTAAACTTAAGACAATGACGTCTTCTGGACGAAGCTTTGCCGCTGTGGCGTTGTGTCTGCGTATTTGATCTTTTCTACCTATGTGTTTGTGCGTGTTTCATCCTCCTCGTTCGTTTTTTTTTTTTGGTTCCTTTGCCGCGTAAAAAAAAGTGGGGGAGGGAGGAGGGCGGGAGGGGAGGGACAAAACGAGAACAGAGAAGTATGCGTGTCGGTGGTGGCGCACGAAACAATGGCCCCCTCTTGTTAAACGCCTCGGCTGTGCTGCGTGCCTCGATGCGCTGCCTGTCGCTTTCCGAGTTGGCTAAGGTTTTTGCAGAGATAAATGAACCGAGCACGGTACCAGTGCCAACCGGGGCACCCGCCTCTGCTGGCGGGGTGCAGCGGGAGCTGGCGGCCTGTACGCAAAGTGGCACGTTACCCGTCGGTGTACGTGAGTTGAACCGGTTGTTTGGAGCGAAAGGGTCGGGTCTAAAGAATACCCGTAGTGTTTTGGATAGTGGGGTCATCACATTTGCGCCGGCCTACAGCAAGAGTCTCAGTGGCATCTCTGCGTCACAGCTTGCCTTAGTGTTGGAAAAGGAGTGTAAACAGCAGCATCTTGGTCATATGATGCAGTGCCTTGCGGAAGTATGCCGTCGATTGCGTGAGGCGTCGTTGATGGGGGTTGTCATCACTGATAAAGAGGCTTGTGGTGAAGTGGGAGGTGACAGTTTGGCCGTTTATTTATTCCGCAGCGATGAGATTTTGGAGTCCGTGTTGCGTTTGCTGGCCAAGACGAATCTGGATGAGGTACAACAGAGCCACAGGCTGTTCTGGGAGTTGCGTGATGAAGGCGTCAGTGCGGACTGGGTGACGGAGCTTGGATGCTTGCTCATACAGTGGCTCACTGCTCGCGCTGCCTTGCTTAGCCCCGTTTGCAGTGCAACATTTTTGCATCTTATTGCGCAACAGAAGGTGTTTCATTCTGATGCTGTTTTGGAGACGTTGCGTGATAACATCGAGGTGCACTTTGCAAAGGGCGCCGTAACACACACGCAAAGTGCTTCTTCCGCCGTATTTTCGTCTCACCGTGTTTCTGCTGACAACGATGTTGAATTTGATGTGAGTGTCTTTGCCATGCTGTTGGACGCGATGGCTCGGTGGCAGCTCGGGCATGTGCGGTTTCTTGGGACCGACACGGCGGTGCTGCAGAACCGACTTCACGGGGGTAACAATGTGATGGCGACGATAACGCAGCTGCAACACCCCATACTCAGTTCAGATTTTTATAACGTGGTGGTAGGCAGACTTTTGCTGGGTGTGCGAGACGGCTCGTTGCACCTCACACGCCATAGATCTCCGTCAACCTTTTTTTTCTTAGCCTTGGCATTGGCAAAGATCCGTTGGTTCCGTCCGGACTGTGCCGAGGTGCTGCTGCCGCAGCTGCACGAAGCCTTGCGTGTGTTTCCCGGACAATATCTTGGGGTTGTATTGCTGCTTGGGCGGCGTGAAGTGAAGGTGTGCAGCGTCGCAACCACCGAGTTACTCTTGCAGACTGTACTCGACACGATGCAGAAGCGCGGGCAACGTTACATCCCGGCGGATGGGCGTAACCGCCACAGCCCCGATGGTGTTGCCCTTACCACATCCGTCGTCACCGCGCAAAGCACGGATGCCTCTTCGAGGATTTTGGCGTGTTGTGGCCACGAAGGGGATGCTTCCGTGGCAATGACCACTCTAGATATTAACGCCGACGAAGACGATTTGCAGCTTTTTTCTGCATCCTCATATGTGGATTCCGTATGCGACAAGGATATTATGAAGGTTCCTGAAGACGAGGCAGTTGCGTCTGCGGCTTCTTCCCAAGTCTCGTCTGCTGCGTTTACGACAAGTTTTATGGATCTTCGCTCCGTGCCGATATTTATTGAAAGCCTTAATCACATTTTGACGATCACGCTTGAACATTGCCGTGCGCAGGGGAAAGAGGCTGAGCTACATGCACTCAATGCAAAGGCGGAAACTCTTTACGAGGCACTGCTAAATGACACACACCGTGGAGTGAAGTCGCTTCACACGTTGCAGGAGAGTCCTGCTCTGTCAGAGAAGCTCCTCTCAGCCGTGCTGCGTACACCACGCAAGACGCATCACCCGCTTCTTATCGAACTTGCCTACGTCTTTACACGACACGTAGCTGCGCGACGTGCGGCATCAAAGAATGGCAGCAAAGGAACCGCTGTCGCCCCACATTGGCAGTGGCGCACACTAACTCTTGTTGACCTCCTGGTGCAACGCGGCGTTATCCTGCCAGAGACGTATTTCATGACGGACGAGGTTATTCAGTTGGCTCCTCGTGTACTTTCGGCGGTGGAGGCGGAGAAAGGGCGTCTGTTGGAGCGCCAGCGGCGACATGAAAAACAAGATGGATGGAAAAAGAAGAAAACCGTTCGAACCTCAGCAGTGTTTGTGAAGTTTTCGCGAACCGTAGCACAGATGAAGCAGCAAATGTAACTGTCAAAGAAGAGCGGAGGGGACGTGATGGATGCGTAACAACTTGAGTCTCCATGTCGTGGTGGTGTTTGTGGGTCGTGCTGCTGCTGCTGACGTGGAAGGCGGCGTCCCTAACAGGCAAGCATAAACAGGGAACACTGGGATTGAGCAACGTGAATAGCGAGGCCGGAGTGCATACGATACGGAGGTGTTGTTTTTCTTTTTTTTTACTTTATTTATTTTGCTGGTGGTCGCACATTCCACATTTGACATGTAATTACTCTTGTTGATTTTGAATGTTTCTTTCATTGCTTCTTTCTGGCTCTCGCTCTCCTATTAGTCTTTAGTGGTTTGCACTGTGCAGAGGTTTTGACTTTAGGTTACCCGGCCATCTTTGTGTTTATCTCCCTCTATTGTAGTACACCACCACCAAGAGTGCGAGGCGTCTACAAAGAGGTGGGATTGCAGCGATGGATAAGGTAAAGAGGTACCTCCTAAATTGTGGAGCAGATTACATCGTACCTCAAATATGCGAGTTTTCGGCAAGCTGTGCCACCTCCGAGCTTGCTGCCCAGCAGCTTTCCTGCATCCCCGCCATGATCGCCAAGAGTCTCAGTTTCACACTTGCGAAGAAGGAAGGACGCGATCCTATTCCCATCATCATACTCGCCTCGGGTGATACAAAGGTGAGCAACGACAAATATCGTTCCAAGTTTGGCTGTCGTCCCGTGATGATTAGGCGGGAGGATGTTGAGGACGTCGTTGGATTTGCCCCCGGTGGAGTCTGCCCGTTCGGTGTGAATGAAAATGTACGAGTATACTTGGACGTTTCGCTGCGCCGCTTTGAGACAGTGCACGTGGCAGCTGGCGCGGCGAACAGCACTGCCCCAATGAGCATCGGCGAGCTGGAGCGCTTCTCTGGTTTTGTTGAGTGGATTGACGTTTGCGACGGGTGGTCGGAACAGGAGGCAAGTGATGGTGCTGCGGCCCCGTCATCATCTTGATTTGGAGGGATAAAATAAGAACATGCATAAAACCGAGTCACTGCTCCAAGCACACACACACACACACACACGAAGCCGGGGACGTGTGTAGTTTATACATATGCACACATCTATGCATATATATATA